TGTGTGTGTGTGTGTGTGTGTCTATAAAGAGGGTAGAATGTATAGTGGGAAATGCTGAAAATACAGGTTGTGTAAAGATCACGGAAGGGAGACCTTACAGGTTGAGTTAAGGAATCTGGACATTATTTTGTAGGAAGTCATCAATTTTCAAATAATTTTTCAAACAGGAGAGAATCACATCTACTATGTGAACATCACTTGGCCAGCATCGCACTCAGGACTTTTGTTTCATAGTTACAGGTTCTTTTGGAAGACAGGACTATAGAAAAAAAAAAAGGGAGGTATTAAAATTAAGAGTTGAGTGTAATTCTCAATTTCATGTGGCAGTTTATGGAATGTATGATTATTTTATTAAGTTATTTTGTGTCATGAAATTAGGAATACAACTATCGGATAGTTTGGTGTTAGCTTACTATTTTTCTAAGGTCATAACGTGGAATTTCAAAATCATGTTTTTCAGATACTGACCGAGCTTTATCATTACTGGAAGAATACTGCAAAAAATTAAGGAAACCAGAAGAGCAGCAGTTGAAAAACGCTGTTAAAAAGGTGATGGGTATCTTTAGGAGCAGCTTATTTCAAGCTTTGCTAGGTATGTATTACAAAATTATGTATTATCGTAATGGACAGAACTGGGCTTAATAGCTTGAGTCATGCGGTCAGAGAACCTAATGTTAACCAAATTTAAAACTGGAATAATTTTCTTTGATAGCAGAAAAAAAAAGAGTTTTTTTTTCTTATTTAAAGCTAACCTAAAAAGAATTGTTATAGAATAGAAATAAAGTGTAGGTTATTAAGAAAAAACATACATGTGGAAAGAATGTTTTGTATAGGAAGGCAAGTTTACATAGGAAAAAAATCTGAGCACTTTGTTACAAAAAATTGAGGACAAATATGGTAGAAAAGGAAGCTGCCTTCTTCTAGAGAAGGAATTGCTTAGCATAAAAAATGATGGGTCACATTCTGCTCAGAATCATTGTTCTACTTTTATTCTCTTCTTAAAACAAAAGTTAAATATTCTTTTCCTCATCTCCTGAAAGTTTATGACCCAAATTGAAATGTTTATTGATGAAAATCTCAGTGCTTTGGAATATTTTTGTCAGCTTGTCATGAATCTTACTATGTAATGTTCAACCTTATGTCTATCCTCTAATTTATTAAAGATTGTGAAGAAAATCAAGGATATGCTTTATTTATGTATGCCTTTATACACACATCTTTTGCACGTATGCAGATAACTTTTAATTCTTTTTTTCATGATATTTTAAGAGTTAAAATAAAGTAGCAAAAGATATAAACAAACACCTCCATTCAACTAAAACAACCAACTAAATAATTTTTAAAAACCCCTCAATTATGTACTTTACTGGGCTTAACTAGCACATTTTCAAGAAATAACTGTCTACTCGACATTATTATTACTTTTTCATGTCTAATGGTTATTGATATAAGAAAATCTAAAAATGGGAATTTATGAGGGTTAATCTTGAAAATATTTTGTCTATGTCTTTATTATAAATATCTACACATTGACAAAAACTCCAACTTTATATTCTGAATATGATTTTAAAAAGCATTAAATTCTGAAAATTTGAAAATCAGTCTATTGAATAAAAATAGAAGAAAAACGCTTTATAGCATTATTTTGCCTGTGGATTAAGTTCTTTATAATATTCTATCATGGCTTATAAGAATGACACAAATAACTATAATCATTTTAGCTGGTATTAAATAAAAACAACTCTAAATGGACTCTTGCAGAATTTAAATATATCCTTTCATTAGAGAATGGTAGTTTAGAGAACATTTTTAAGCCACAAATTTCTCAATTAAAAATTAATAGTATCATCTAGTTGATAATTAGTGAAGGCCATTATCTCAATGACAATGTTTCAAATAGATTTGTATGATATGTTTAGTTAAGACTAGCTAAGTCTTTTGAGAGTTTGAGTTTTTAAACTTGATTTAGGAAGAATATTATTGGGTGCTTTAGATAATTCTACTATACTTTGGTAATTTAATCATTTGGTATCATAACATTATCATGTGGGGAAATAAAAGGGCAAATGAATTACAAAGAATTGCATTTTGTAACAATTGCATTTTGTAATTGTTTTGAGTGAGTGATAAATATCTTGGCATAAAGCCTATAGCATAGTTTGAATTTCCCTAAAAAACGAGAAGCAACAATAATCTGTAAAAAGCTGTTATATAAGTAATACTGGTGTCCAGCTTTGAATGGATAGATTTGCTTTGGCTGGTCTTTAAAAGTCATTTTGGGATAAACTAGACTGCAAAGAATGGAGCAACATTATACAACAAAACATAATTTTCTATTCAATTCTATGTTGGTTGCTAAATACTGATTACTAATTTATTGCTGTTGAATGTTTGAGTGGTCTCACTGTCCATTTTCTTTAAGGATGCAAAAGAAGAAAAACCATGTTGCCCTGTGCATCGTGAAGGGGATTATATCTTTATAAATAAATAAGTAGGGAGCCATTGGTATGTAGAGCATTGTTTATGACCTATAACTTGCTTTCTGTTTGAACCAACTCCTTTCACCAATTCTTTTTTTTGTTTGTTTGTTACAAGTAAGGGAAGACAGTGGCTTCACTCATGGTTCTGAGATTGAGATAGCCAGTACATTGAAATAACTTGCATGAATCTCAATTAATCGAAGAAAGAAAATGGAATCATAATGCAGAAACCCAACACAAATGGATAATAAAGTAAAATACTGTTATTGCAGAATGTGCTGTAACACTGACATGTGATCAGGAAACCAAGCCTTCTCGCTACAGGTGAAAAATATCACTTTGAAAACAAATGCTACCCTTCTTTTGTGGTCCTTCATCATATGCTTAACAACAACAACAACAACAACAACAACAACAACAACAACAAAAAAGGCGCTCTAATATGTCACAGATGTTATATTCTTTGAGGACAGAATTCTGTTTCTATAACTTTGACTAGTATTCTAGTGCATAAAAGTATTTTATAAATGGGTTCAGTGATAACAGGGTGGAAAGTGATAACAAAGGTATTTTTTTCTTTAAAATTTTTCAAATACAAGTTTATCTGATAATAAAAGTAATATATGCTTATTCTGGAAAATTTTTAAAATAAAGAAATTAAGAATATAAAATCCAATGGTAAGATACATTGGTCTTATGGTAAATAGCACGATATATGATAAGTATGGAGATGAACTGTTTGATTAACTTTTTTCCTCCTTGCTTCTAGAGTCCCTGTATTTTGTTTTTATTTTCTATTTCCCAGTACCTGACAGTGGAAAAAGACACTTTTACATTTTTTAACAGTTAGCAATTAGTGCTCATGAATGCACAAAAAAAGAAAAATGCTTAAAACAGCTGAGTGCTAGAAGCTGCACATTTTGATGTTAGGCTTAGGGTGACATCTTGTGGTAATTGTCAGGAAAAAGTTTTGTCTCCCATGGATAATTACAGTTTTAATGATGATTGCATTATTAACACCTCAGAATTTGAATAGAAGTGAATTGAAATTCCATGATATTTTACATATTAATTTGGCTTTCTTTTATTTAGTAAAGCTAAACCATTCCGATTTTCAAGGCGCTTAGGTAATTTGTTCTTTATTTAGGTGATAAAGAAGCAAGATGAAATGTTTTTATTGTTTTTATCCTTCTCTTCCAGATACTTTGAAATTTTAAATTTCACTGTGTTGTGTTTGAGGAGGAATTTTGGGGAAATATTTAGAAGAGAATGGACAGTAAAGTGGTATTTTCCTTAAAACTTGCCAGTAACAACATCTTAAGAAGAGTGCTATACTCTGTTTTCTCTTCAGATCGCATATATCTTTTGCCTTTTTAAGAAAAGGGCTATCCTGCTTCATGGAGGCTGGCATGTCAGACTTTGTGTTAGAGTAGAATTCTTCTCATTCCAGTAAAATTTACCATGGACACCATGGATACTTGAGATTGCTAGCAATAGGATGAGACAGTAGATATTGGGATTGGTCACCTCCTTGTTGACGCCTTCTGCCATGTCCCTACTTGCTAGCAGCTTTAAGTAACCCTTTCCTAATGTCTCTCAGCATTTTTATTTTATTTTATTGGGGAACAGTGTTTTTCCAGGACCCATCACCTCCAAATCAAGTAGTTGTTTCAATCTAGTTGTGGAGGGTACAACCCAGTGGCCCATGTGGGGATAGAACCAGCAACCTTGGTGTTGTGAGCACTGCGCTGTAACCAACTGGGCTAACTGGCTGCCCTCTCTCAGCATTTTGTTCATTGTACCATAAAGCAGTATTACATTGCCTTATGATCAATTGAATATATTGATGCCTCCTTCAATAGACTATGTGTAGCTTGAGAGTTGAAGTTATATCTAATTAAACTTTGTACCACAAGTATGTAGACCTTTAATAATAAAAGATCATCAATAAATTTTGTTCATTCATTTATGCTACAATTATTTTTAAAATACCTGTTATGCGTTAGGCATTGTGGTGAGCAATAGGGATACAATAGTAAACTATAGAAGAGAGAAGAGTCCTTGTTCAATGGGTGAGAGCAATCCAGTGGAGGAAAAGAGACATTAGGTATGCAGTTAGTTAATTACTTAAACATAATGGTGACAAGTGCTACAAAATCAATCTGTATTAAGAGTTTTACCACATTTTAGTTTGAATGAAAACAACGTATTTTCCTAATATAATCATTTAACATAATATTTTTGTTTCGAAATAACATCTATTTGAAAGCATCATGGCTATTTTGGTCTTAATTATTCATTGTTAATGTATAATCTGACAGTTTAGATTGGATGTCATCAAGAGGATTAACTGCCATTCTTGGCTCTGGACTTTGTGTATTTGCTACAGGATTTATGTCACCAGATGGCACCATTTTACTAAATTTATGTACTTTGGATGCTTATTAGGCTGGTTGTTTTTAAATGAAGGATGCTTTTATTTGTGTTGTAGCTGAAATAGGCAACATTAATTTATTTTGATGGAATATGAGACTTCTATACAGAGTAAGGTAATGTACCCCAAAAGTTTGTTGAGAGCAGGAAAGGATCTGGTGATTTCTGCTAAGTACATAATAAATGAAAATGTGGTTGTGATCACTATCACTAATATATGGTAACTGGCAAAAAAGCAGGACACAGTAGGTTCCCCCATGTAGGTTTTCCTATAGCCAGCATATTAATATCATGAATATTTTAGTCTTGAATTTAACTTTCAGGTGTAGGGACTTGATATACATTATAACAAAAATATAGAGAAAATTCGAAAAGATTTTAGGAATAAGCCCTTTCAAGATGTCTTGAAATATTATGGCAATAATATATTAAAAAATTTTTTTGTCAATGGAGTATATGTTCTATTGAATTGTAAAACTAACATGAGTAACAGAACATGATATAGATGTTCTTTCTTAGTATAAACATTCATCCCAAGGAAATGAATATTTATTATTTTCTTGGCTTAAAACTTCCTTAATACTTTCCCTATTGTTAAGCAGAGTCAGCCACGTTCTCCATCACGTTCCTGTAGTGTTGGTTCACATGTCTGGGGCAGCACTTATTACGTTGTATTATT